GCCAGGCGTCACCCAGCGTGAGGACGCTGCCTTGTCCCAAGCACTGGGAACACCTTCCCCACATGCAGGAGACTTACGGCTGTGGATACTGCATGTGTGTCAGGGGAGAACAGAGGAAGCAAGCAAGAGGCTAAACAAAAGATTTTAGGTAAAAAAATAAATAGTTTGTACCGTCACAAAACAAAAGCACGTAACACTTCAACAGCAAATACCTTGCCACCTCCCACCGCAAAAATCACCGGGTTACTGCACTAGCAGATATTCCAATGTAAATGACAGAGAACACGCAAGTCTGTACTGCATTTAGGTTCGGTGGGAGGGTGTTAGTTTGTGATACAGCCCTGAAACAAAGGGTGAACAAACGTGTTATGTTTCACTAGCAACAACCTCATTCAAGTGTTTGCCTAACTAGTTCATTCCTTCAAAGCAGGATCATGACAAACACCATCAACTGAGACCAATATGCACAATAAAAAAGCATAAACAATCCATGCTCACACAGGAAAAGGTTTAAGATCAGTATTTTAATTAGCAACAGCCAAACACTCTCAATACTCCATATTTAAGGAAAAATAACACATGAAAATGGGGAAAAAAATCATTTGGTACCTGTTTCAGGTATTTACAAACTGCTTAGTCACAGCACCAGCAGGGTGCATGGCCACGTCTGCAAACACACAGACTCCCCAGGTGTGATGCTAACTTAATTTGGTCAAACCAACGTGACCTTGGGGACACCGAGCTGTCTGAGGCAGCGTGAGCACCTGGTGGCATGGTTCAGCATCTCGCCTCCGCTGAGCTGTGACTGGGGCACAGCAAGCTCCCGGGGCGCACCGCAGGCGCCCCGCAGCACCACACAACGGATGCAAGTGCAAGGCAACACGGAGCTGCTGAAACACTCGGCTTTGTGCTTGCTGATTCATTCAAAAAGGAAAGAGAAAAGGGAAAGAAAACACGCCAGCCCGGTGAAAACAGAAGCCACCATCTGGCCTGGAGGCACAGGCCTGGCCCCGCGTGGCACCCAGCGCAGAGCAGGGAGCCTGGCAGCCAGGGCGAGGGAGAAGGGGCACCGGGAAGGGAGAGCTTGGTAACTCCCCATCGAAACTCAAAGCCCCAGACTAACGATGGGTACAACAGGAAATAAGGTAAAACAGGGACCAATGCAAAACACGGCCCAGTTGGCCACACTGAAGAGCTGTGAGCCCGAGCTGGGCCCCGCAGGCTATGAGGTGACACCAACACAGCACGCGGAGCGAGGCGAAGGCTCCACAGAAACAGGATTAACCGAGAGCCCTGCGGCGCTCCCCCCGCGCCCTGCTGACAGCGCTGGAGAGCCAGAAATCGCAGTTGAAATGAGCAAGAATTTAATCCACTGATTATCAGCTGAATCCACTGCCCTCCTCTGAAGTCATTACCAGCTTTCACATCCTTTAAGGAGCTTCCAGCTGCAGGTTGCCAGCACCAAACACAGCAGTCAGGGCCCACGGAGATGCTCCCTTGGTCAGCATGCAAGCACAAGAGAAGGGACACCTCAGAAAAGAATGCGCAAAGAGATGGACAAAATGAAGGCAGAGCTGGGATTGTATTTATACACATAAAACACCCGACTCTGTACAGAGCATCAGCCAGAAATGCAATGAGACTTTGTACAGACTCCTTGAATAGATGCAATCCTTTTCCCAGCAGCGAGGCAAGTGTGCAAATATCTACTTGAAAACAAAATGGGATGTATATTTTTAAGAAGAACAATAAAAGGGGCTAAAACACTAAGCTAAAGCCATAAGGAATGCATTGTGGGAAAAAAATAATCCCAGTTTTTACTTCTTTTACCAAATTTGGTTAAAATAACTCAGAGAATTCAGACTGAGTTCAAATCTCACTGCGTGAGGAGGGTCTAAAACTCTGAAAATTACTTGGTATTTTGAAAAAAAGACATCCATGTTTTTTCCATGTGTGCTTGGCATCACCGAATAAGACAATTTTGTAAACGAAACAGTGACAACACATCCGGTAAGGAGCAGTAAAAGGCAAGAATGAAAGCGATGTAAACAATACACCTACGGAAAAGTCTTTGCCAAATCAACTTTGGAATTTGAGAAGGATCAATTACAAACTGAAATGCTTGCAAACAAATGCCAGGAGATCACAGAGCCACACAGACCATTAGAAAATGAAGGAAAAAAAATAAAGAAAAGCAACAAAAAAGCCCCAAGATCTAACTTCTTTCAATTTTACATACCATTAAACAATTCAACTAGGTAACGAAGCAGACGGAGATAAAGCGCTGGCCACCAGATTTTTACCAGAGGTGAATCGGCCAGACTTGAGTAAAACAGCCCCGCTGGTGTGATGGAAGTTAACCTGCAGACCCGCAGACACCTTCAGCGTGCTGCCACGTCTCACCCACAGCCCCGTTACGCAGGCAATCAGCGCCTGCCGCTCCCCACCCGTGTGCTCCCACCTTCAGAACACGCAGATTACCACCAGTGACCGTGGCGTGGTTGCTCAGACACACGGAGCGATGGCACTGCAGGCCTGCTGCCTGCTCAGCAGCAAACCTTCCACAGCACAAATACCCTTGTAACGAGCAAAAGCAGCGCTTTCCTCACAAACAATTTGTGGTATTATGACCCACGCCAAACACCACACAGGCGCACATTGCAGCCCGTGAGAGGTGCTCTGCAGCTTTGCAAAGAAGTTGCAGCCCCCCGAGATGACACACACCTGCTGGGCACGCTGCGCCCAGCTTCTACACACTGCCTTCAGGTTTCATCATGTATCAGTTCGTCATGCTGCACCATTTAATTACAGCAACACAGCGCATTACTGCGAGATGCTTTCTGCTCTGTGAAATGACAGCAAGCCTCCAACAACAGCCAGCCTCCAATACCCTGCCTGAGCAACACTGGACAGCTGGGGCAGCTTAACCACCCCCACCGCCGTGAAGCAGCGTTGCTTTTCTATAGCACAAATCGAATTACCAGAGAAATCACCGCGTTCCTTTAGAAAACCAGAGTAGAAACTCGCACACTGTTACGCCACGAGAACGCAGTTATTCCCTTAACTCCTTCAAGCAGCCTGGAGGGAAAGGGATTCAACAGGAGCCATCCCCATCAAAGGTAACGAACCATTTCAGCAACAAGTTCAACAGTGCTGCGGGAGGTACAGTGCAGCACTTCTTGCGAGCATAAAAGCAAAACCTGGAAAGTTTCTAGAGACCACAGATCTATAAGAAGAGCTACTTCAGTTATATACATATATATATATTTAAATGAGAACACGCCACAGCACTGTTTTATCAGAATCCTCCAAGGCTAACGCTGCTTTTTCCTCGGATTACCAATTTTTCCTGACTTCACTCACACCAGCCCTGAAGCACGACGGTTCCCGAGCACGGCAGGAACAGCGAGCAGCTCCCCTGGGACAGGGACGGGGCTGCCGGGCACTAGGGAAGCGCTATGGGGAGCAGCAGCCCGAGGCCGTGCTCCCAGGCCGGGGGGAATTCTCTCACTGACCACACGAGCGTGCCCGGCAGCCCGACAAAGCTCTGCTGCCACCGACGAGCCCGAAGGGCGGCACAGCGAGCCCCCGGCCCCCACCGGCCCCGTCCCAGCCCCGCAGCCCCCCGGGCTCTGCCCCCGCCGCTGTTCCCCGCGGAGCAGCGCCTGGCTCCGGCCGCCCCGGACACCCCGGAGGCAGCAGGCGCTGCCCGCTCACCGCCCCGGGCGGAGCTCCCGAAACTCACGGAGGGAACCCGGCGCCCGCCGCTCACCGTCACGGATCCCCTCAGCGGCACCGGGGCAGGGCGGGGAGAGGCGGCACAGAGCGGGGGGGGGGGGGAGCCGCGCGCGCTCCCCGGCGGCGCCGAGCGGAGCCTGCGGCCGCGGGAAGGCAGCGGCGCGGGGCGGGAGCGCGCAGGCGTGCGCATCCCCGCGGCTCCCCGGGGAGCTGAGGGGAGGGGGGGCGGCGGTGACCCGGATGGGGGCGGCTCTGCGCATGCGGCAGGGGCCGGGGGGCAGCGGCCGCCGCCTCAGCGCGCTCCCGGGGTCGGGGGGGCCGCGCTCGAGCCCGGGCCCGATCCTGGGGTGGCCGGGCGGGAGCGCGCATCGCCCTCAGAAAGCAGCAGAGCCGCCTCCACACACACACACAGAGACAGACAGACAGACAGACACACACACACACGCACCCACACACACACCCTGTTGAATTCCCCTGACGCGCAGCGAGCAGCTCCGTCCGCCCCTGTGGGTGAGGTGTTGGTGCTACACCACACGCGTGGTTTGGGACCCCGGGAGATGCATTTAACGAGGAGCATCCTGAGGGTTATCTTCTGCATATCCCTCTGGACTAAAACCCAGATGGTGAGTGTTAATTAGGTTGGCAAGCATTCAATTAAGCTACAATGCCAGTATTCTAAATTTATGGCCGCCTATTTCACTTAAGGCCATTTCCTAACAATGCCATTAAGCGTCTAGTACTGCAATCACCCACACCATGTCCTGTACCGGAGGGAGGGCAGCTCCTGCAGCGTGGTGTTCCCAGCTAGCAGCAGAGGCCTCTGCTGTCTCGCAGAAACACGCTCGTGTCTCAGTTTCAGCACTGAGGTGGCAGGCATGCAAAACTCCTGAGTCAGGCCAATAACAACGATTTTGTTATTGTGATTTGTCTGATCTCCTCAATCCCTCACTCCTTTATGTTATACTTAGGTCACATTTTCAAGCTCTTCTCTAAAATATAATGAACAGTAAGATTTCTTGAAAGCCCTCTAAAACCAATATTTCTAAGTAAACACTTAGAGTCATGTAAATTTGCAAGCCTTAGTAGTGCTGCAGCCCCAAAGATCAGTTGTAGCAACCTGCATTTTAATTTTTTTATTTTTTTTTTAAAGATGGTACTTTGGATGAACATAGTACCTAGGGTTACAAGCTATTACTGTCTTAACTTTCCTTTACTTACAAACTCATGAAAGCTATAGCAAGAACACTTAGCAGACCAGAATTCTATAGATTTCATAAAGATCTTTTATTAATTTTCCATTTCCAAAGTTCTCACCAAAAAGACAAAATTAAATAGACATGCAACATTGCTTATGAAAAATTAAGCAGTCATCCTAGCTTTACAGTGTTGGACCATAAGACTTATATGTACTTTTTAATGTGAACAAGAGAACATCATAAGCAGATCATTTTGTACATTCAGCCAACATTGGAGTTGTAATCCACAGCATAAAGTTATATGCAAGATATGCAGTGACAACAAAGTAAGTGCTCTGGTGCATTGAAAAGCCACACAGTGTAAAGGCAATAGATGTCAGTTCACATTTGATAAGGAAACTAGGAGAGCGAGCAAGGAGATATTCTCCCAGATTAGTAAAGGGGACAGTCAGCTGATTTCTGTGCTCACTTTTTCAGCTTTTGAGTTTTGAAAAAATGCTGCATATTTGGAAATCTAAGCACACTCCGCTGTTTACAGTGCCCTGCCTCTCTCAGGATCAGTTCTTGATAAACTGAAGCTTTGACATACACATGTTCAAGTGTGCTTTACACCAACTGATCACTTTTCATGCTGCAAGAATAATTAGCATGTGATATGGGCTCCTCTCCTTTAAATCTTCACATGTAGTTTAGCTGTGTTTGCTGCAATCCTGGGCACCATTGTCACCTCAACCCTACAAATACTCTGTTAGAAGTATAGATCTGAGGGTACAAATAGCATCCTAGGAACTCCTACTCATTCCTGCTCAGCAACAGAGCAGCTGTAAAACTGTGCTGGAGAGCAGAAAGTAAGTTCTTCTGAAAGCTTGGAGAATGAGCAAGAAAGGGAGAATATATAAACAATAAAACCCACAAAATCTAAAATTCAAGTATTGAACATAGGCAGCAAGCAGGGGCGAGGTACGCCCTGGCAGTCCTAGCACCACGCTTACAGTGGCTAACAGACTGGCAAGAATGCAGCTCTCACAACATCAGTGCACCACTGAGGCCGACAGCCCAAGGAACACCTCAGGCTCTGCTGATGTGGCACAGCTGAATGATCTGAAATATTATGATTTACGTGCTCTACAAATAAACTTCACCTCCTTTGAAATCTTTTGTCAGAAAGCTTCGAAAAGCAAGCCTCGCTGAATGTAAAGGTAACGGTCACTATCAGGTAGAATTTCAGGTAGAATTACTGAAACACGCACAAACCAAACAAATGAGACGTGATTACGTAAAACGCAGTAGCAGGGCTCTTGCCTGCAGAGACTGTGAAAGGAAAGAAACCAAGTACCACGGCAGTTTAAAAGTTAAGGTTCTGCCCCCTCACCCAGAGCCTCTGACTGAAAGGTGAGAGAAAGGGAAAGCCTGTATACTTGTACCCTGCCCAGCCAGACTCCGCTGTACTACTGGTTGTAATTAATGAACAGAAGCGGCACGTAAATTCACAAAATCGATTACTGGGGATATAGAGCCAAAGGTAGAAAATCAGTGTCACTGCAACTTCAACGAGATTAATGTACTGGTAATATTAGCCCATTAACATTGTTATCTTACTTAAGCACACAAAGTATTGTGGGCAAAAGAAAAGCTGATCTTTCTTTAGTTTTCGTAAGCTGTGGTGTATGTGATGCCACTGATGAGATTTAAATTGTCAGATATACCAAGCTGGTGAGGAAACTCACAGACATACAGACACATGTACGGCCACTAAGCAACTGCTCTTCGCAGAGGAAGGTGGTGGTGTTTGTTTTAAGCTGCACAAGAACACCAAAGCAGTCTCAAGTATTTCCAAATTAAATTGGTATTCATAGCTGGCAAGGCAAACATGCGAAAGAATAGTTCTGTTGTCATCTACAACAGCAGGAATTGGGAATAGCTATATACAAGTCAGTGGAGCTCTTGGGAATTTTTGGTAGTAGGAACAGAACCTGGCCATGAGTCAATTTAAAAAAATAAAATAAAAGAAATGCAGAAAGCCACTGTTGCAAGCCCAACATCCTTCCAAGCCCTTTGGAACCAGAGTAAGCACTTAAAAATGCACAAAACACATTCACTATTCATTTCAAATTAAGCCTTCTAAGGTCATTTGGAGACGCTCTTATATGTGTACAGTCCAGGATACACCAAGCAGACTTGAAATTCTGTTTCCAAGTAAAACAACTGCTCTTAGAGAAATGAGGATATCAAAACATCAAAGTAACTTGCATATGCCAGTAAACCTATGTACTTTGTCCCCTTCACTTGATACGATTCTATGATTCTAAGTTCCCCCCCCTTGTGTCTATTCTCCCTTTGTATCAGTTTACAGCCTTCTCTTGGCAGCTGGAAAGATAAATACTGTGAGTACACAATGCTTCATTATTCTTTCAGTACTGAGTGCTGGACTCTGTATGCTTCTTTCTTCCTCCCAGGTCACTCACAGTATTAGGCCAGTACCTTTCTTATTTTTTAGAAAAAAAGGGACACAAAAGGGCACCCCAACCTACAACACTTAAACTTAGCTTTTTAACACTGCCAAAGGAATGTTGCCTCTTTTAAGCATTTAAGATCACTAGACAAAATTGTAAATCCTGCCTCAACCACAGAGAAAATAAAAATAAAGAATTAGGACCTCTTCAAGAACTACAAAAATATACCCTTTAGTCAGGTTACTATTCTCTTTTCCTCCTTCTTGTACTTCACAATGTTCCTTCTGTACCATTTGATCCAACTTGAAGTTTTTGCTATGAAACCAGAAAACTGGCAAACAATCTTTGTTCTAAACTGCCATATAATCCAGTGGTGCTATAAAAATAATTAATGTGCTCAGTGCATATGTTCAATGGTAGCTAGAGAACAGTTATACCAGAAGTGCCCAAGAAGACAGAGTAAGTTCCACTATTCATGCTTGAAAGTGATTACATTTTATTGCCATGTTAAGGTAGTAGCTTGGTGGTTATGTTAGACACATGAGGATTTACAACTTCTAGAGAGAGACTGACGGTTTTCTGGAGAAGAGATTAAATCCTTCCCTCCTCTCACTGAGAGTAACTCCTGAAAATTTCTATTTGGAGATAAACTCTCTGCCAGCAGGGCTAAAAATTGCACGGTCACTCCTCTTCCCACAGCTCTGCATTTCTACAGCGTCTGTCATCCCATCGGTTTCATAAAGCCACGACACCACATTCTGCATTTCACACTCCCAGATAGCAGCCTTGAATGGAGAACTGGGATTTTCTTCTTGCTAAGATGACCACTTTCAAATTCACAACTATAGAGAGCTGTTTATTTTAATAATCAGCCTTGAAAGTTAAGTTTGAGACAAGCTTTAAACTATACCAAGGTTGGTTTTACACTTGCTTATGTTTTAACAGGTAAATAAATAAAGGTCATACTTCTGATGATTCAAATCAGTTCCTTGAAGATCAGTCACTCACTCCTTTTTGCTGTGCTCCAGCACCCGGTAGGGTGGAGCAGAAACTCCTCTGGAACCATGTTGCTCCTGCACTATTGGCAACGTAGCTGGAGTATAAATTTCCGGCATGTTGTCATTGTTCTCTAGGGCACCATAGGAAAAGGAAGCTTTGAGGTCAGGCTGAACTGCAATCCCCTTATCATGCACGTTTTGCATGCCTGAAAAGTACAGAGACAGAATAAATGCTTAGGAACAGAAGTAGTGCATTCAATCTACACTCTATTAAATCTGCAAATTCTATGGTCTCGGAGTTAGCAACATATGTGGCTCATCAGCTCCCTGAGTGTTAAATGAAAGACAGTGTTCTTCTGCTTAGCTCTAAAACAACTAATGAAGAAATAATGTTCAAGTGAATGAGGGATGGCAGTCATTTATCAAATGCTGCATGTCTTTTACACAGATCACCAGAAAGACATTTAGCTGTTACTTCCTAAAAATAAGTTTCTGATCTTTCTGGCCTCTACCTCTTGCCGCGTACCTCAGTCATCCCCAGTAATCGGTTCCCCCTGCTTGATGAGAACTGATTTTGAGCATTTGCTTGGGATTGGTTATCTTCCCAGACAGCAGCCACCTAGACAAGACTGTTCTGACACTATCCCTGGTGTCAGAGGACCCAGAAAAAGAGTACTGAAGTGGAACATCTCTTCTCTGCTTCATGAAAAACATGGATGTACCCCTCACACTGCACAATCAACTTAAGAGAATGAAAAAACATAAAACAAAACAGCTGCCTGATATATCAAGATGCCTGAGAAACTGAAGCTTGAATTTCCATTGTGAAGCCCAAGACCAAAGAGACAGCAATAAACCACTGTTACCTGGCATAGCATCCATTGATATGTAAGGTTCAAAGGGTACAGATTTCTTCCTATTTCTTGTGATCAGGAAGACACCTAGAAATGCTATGAGGCACCTGAGGAAAAAAAGACAAGTTCTAGTGAGACAACTGTGAAAAGGGAGAGGAGAATGTTGCACGTTGATTTTTCTGAAGGCCTATCATATAGCACAGTAAAGAATTCAGAACTGAAAGAGAAAGGTCTATGAAGTCAGAATTACAGGGAACTCCCAGCAGAGTAACCTTCTTTGACAGTATTGAAATTCACCTAGCAATCACAGTTTCACTTCTATAAAAATGCTGAAAAAAGTTCATATTAATTAATTGATCTTAAATAAAAGTAGAAAGCAAGCATATCAAAATTTGATTTGCTTTCATGAAATTTCAGGATTTAACAGCCTGAACTTTCCAATATTTCCCAATTGGTATACACACAAACAACTGCTGATTGATTTTTACAGTATGTTGACAGAGAATGGCACAGTTCATAATACTGAACTCCAAGATATTGTTTTTTTCCTGCACTAAACGGGAAGACATTTCAGACCATCCCCTGCTTATGGAAAGTTAATCACATCAAATGCTGTATACTAGGACTAAATGCTGAGTTACATAGCGAGTTTTACTGATTATATCTGCATTGTGTGAATGGCCACAACCTAAGAAACAGGGCTCCTGAAGTCCCATAATTCAATGAAGGCTCAGTGCAAAACCTGAAACAGATCCCTTACAGATGGTTGCTTCTAGTTATTTCACTGTTCTTTTAGATTCATAAGCTGCTTGACAGCATTCCCGCTCACCTTACATGGAATGGCTACATTTGGAGGAACAGCCCATATGCCTCAACATCCAGGCTGATCACCATTCAGTCAGTAAAAAGATTTAATATGGGGCACAGACCTTTTACAGTTATGCATAACCTAGCATGACAAAATTCTTCTACAGCATGCACCATTACTCAGACAAGGCACTGACTCCATGGGCCGCTGTCTGCTCTTACCAGAGAAAGTGTATTCAGTTCATCCTCCTCTCCAGCAGGCCGTGCGTCTCACACACGTACATAAACACATGTAACTTTACATATAGTTTTTAGATTTATACATCTGAAGAAACACTTTTCAGTTTTCCATCAAGGAACCTTAAGACTTACCCAAGTGCAAACATGCATATATGGAGAACATCTTCGCCCGTGAAGTCCAAGTAGAAAGTTGCTCCTTGAAAAAGAAATAATTCATGCTTTTCTTCCCAGCTAACACGAGCGTTTAGTGCTGCATGACAAGCATTGGTCCCTCCAGAAATCAAGTCATTAAGATTACTATTTATGTTGTCAGCATCTTATTTGTTTATAGTCTTAAAATAGATTAATATGCCCTATTAATATTTCCACTTTAACAGAAGCTGTGTATGTACAAATCTTCACACAGCAACTAGTACAAGTTTTTCGGTATGGGGGTAGGGTAGGAAATAGCACTGGAACTACTGCAGGTCACTATGCAAATCAGCCTGAGTTCTCACCATATAGCAGTGGTTACCATATAAACATATTTCTAACATCTGAACAACAGACTGGATCTCTAACTCCAACAGGAACCCTTGGCCCCAGTCAAGTATACAAAGCCTAAAATTGTAAGATGGCAAGCATCCTTGGCACCCTGGATGTCACAAGGACAAGCAGCCCAGTACACACGTTCTAGCTGTTACTCTTTACAATTCTTATTGATGTAAAGTAAATAAGCTGATGAATCTGAGAGCAGCATATGGCTTCGAACACCCCAGGAAATAAACATTAGCTGAAGAGCAGGCCACAGTCTCTCACGACATTGAAGAAGCACATTAAAAAGCGATGTGTAACTTAAGGGGGGGGAGCTATTGCCCCTATACCCCTAGAAGAGAATTACTAGTTTATGTGGATGGTTCATCTGCTTGACTGCAATGAATGATTTCTCCAGTATTTTTTTTTCCTTCTAGTTTTGCTCATACATCTAGCTACTGAGGACAAGATATTTAAAAGGATATCTTTAGGTTTGAAGTCTAAGGGGGTTTAAAATGCTTATCTTTGTTCATAAAGGTGAAATTTTTCCTGTGTGGGCAAGGGCTGAAATTGGAATAATCTGTACAGCAAGAGAAGTGCCTATACAACTGTGTATCCTAGATACAATACAAACAAGAAAAATCAGGAAGAGAACTGTAACACCTTTTCCAAGGGAAAATAAATACGTTTAACAAAAAGACAGAACTTAACACAGTCTAAATGGGTAATTCACATCTTGGGAGAGGAAAAAGAAATAAAGCCAGCTCCAGAAGAGAGATGACATGAAAATACAAGTCATCATCTTGTGAGTATTCACCTTCCTCAGCTGTGAGAATTATTTTCCAAAATCTCTTGCCCATCTTTTAGAAAGGACCAACACACTGTTTTATGCAATTACCTGCTGTGATAGCTATTGTTGTGGACAGGATATAGCCGATGCTAGCAATCTGAGACGAGTCATACAGCTGTGAGGCTTGAGCTAAAAACCTGCAATACAATGACAGATGACAGGTTGACTTGGGACAGATACTCAAACTGTGTAGCAGTTACCACAGACTCATATAGTTCTCCTTTCTGGAAGCACCTTTCAAATCAATGGCAAGTAAGTTTATGAAACAGTGTTCTCAATAAACCGGCATCAGCATGCTTTGGAATTAATACAAATGATTGAGGAATAAACCTTCTAGCCATACTCACTAAAGGCAGTGAAATTACTGCCATTGACCTTGAGGCCAGAATGCCACCCACATTTTGAATAGCTCCTTATCCTTGTTCCTACTGCTCCTACTTTTTAATGTTATCACAAGAACAGAGGGGAAAGAAACAACAGAGCACTGATTTTGGCCTGTGCAAAGATACTCTATTTGATTTGCCACCATTTCAATCATACCACTGTTTTGCAAATACTTTTCTGATGTATAAATTTGGGATCAAAACAACTTGGCCATGTCACTACATGGAAAAGCAAAGAAAAATGCTATCCCAGGCTCCTGTGACATGGGTTTGAGTACAGGTCATAGAAGAGACCAGGAATTCTTCCCGCTAAAATGTGATCAGCATTCTTTAAATGGATAACAAACATTTCATTAATTACTGACCCACTAAATCCAACAGTTATAGACAAAGAGAGGGTGAGCATCTTACGTTGCTTGAAAGACTGCTGTAGCAATCATGCACACCAACATAATATAAAATATTGGGTAGTCGAGCTGGAGGTTTCCTTGTATTGAGACAACAATCATGCCAGCCACAGCTTTCACGGTCACAACAGTCATGGAACCTGTGGATGTTTGCAAAAGACAAAGGTGACAATTCAACAATCATTTGCAAAGATCCTAAGCATCACTGTAAAATAGCTTTACCTAATTTGTAGCAAAGTTTCTGGAATAGAGTGATACATTTTATGACATTAATTAGGCCAATAAAATTCCTTACATGCTACAGATACATCACTTTACTGTAGATTAGTGTTTTAAGCCACAGTAGAAAGATATTTTAAGTCCATATCAACTTACCCAGCAAAGCCACAAGCAGGAGAATAACTACAATGTAGTTTGCATTTTTCTCCTTGTAAAAATACAGTAGCAGGCAGAATATGATGATCTCCAAAAGCTACAACAAAACAGAAGAGAAAACATTAGATATTGAGTAAATAGCATTGGCAGCAGATGGGATTCTGAGCCAGTCAAATATCAGAATCATACAACAGGACAAATCAAAGGAAAATGAGGATCTGACGCAGTTCCATATCAAATTTAACATGACCATAGATTCTAACGAGACAAGATATTCAGTAGGTTTTTGCAGTACAGGAAACATGGGACATCTTTGACATTGCATTCTAGGTAAAGAAGCAGATCAAATAATCCTGATTTAATATTCACATCACAGATCCCAGCCTACTTTTTATTTTCCTACTTTCTTTAAATGACCCCTACAGCACTCATTTTATTTAACGGCCAAACTTATCTTTATTAAGGAGCAACAGATTGCACAATATTATCAATGAGACAATGATGACTCCAGAGGAAGTCAGCCTAGGAAAAGAACAGATGCAAGCACAATGTTTGGGCACCTCTAGAAAAACTGTTCTCAGCTGCCCCCAACACTGCTGTCACAGGCTGAGGCTGACAAATCAGGGAAAGAGCAGGCTATTTAAAATTTTTAAGTTAAAGATATTTAAATTCTAAGTTGTGCATGCAGGTGTCCACATGCGCTGTGGAAGTGACACTAGCAAAAGCTGAAAACGGTCCATTAGCAAATAAGAAACATTGCTAGTCCCCATAAATAAGAACACTTTAAACAAAACTCCCAAATCAGGCATACAGCAGAAAACTGTCCCACATGTTACGGGCCATCTTACCATATACAACAGAAATGGCCAGCTCACTAAATGCCTAGTGATATTTTCTCCCGTCATCTTCTCATGACTATTAGGTCCAAATGTTATCAGTAGATAAGTTCCAATAATTGCCAAACCACAGCCTACAAAGGATAAAACATAGCGCCCTTTGGCGACCAAAGGACAAAAAAAGGACAGTTAGAGGGTTAGTATGGATGCATGGAACTAATATCGCACATGCGCAGCGGCCATGACATCATGCATATTCCTCCAAATGACTCATTCCTCTGCCATTCATGCCCCACTTTCAAAACATTAGAAGTAAAAATAACCCTAAGCAATATGTGTGGTGTGAGTTGAGAAAAGAACTCATACCACGGACACCTGGTAGCATCTGTTAAACCAACAGAAGTTGTCAGATCTACATCTGGGGCTTGTCATGCCTGCCTACAGCCCATTTTTCAGGAAATAGCAGAACGAATGCCCCAGTTCTGCAAACAGCTGCACACATACAAAATTCATCTGATTCAGTTGTGTGTAAGCTATTACAGAGTCAAGGCCCCTGGCTCCAGCTTCAGCTCAGAGAACTGTGATTCTCAAATTTGCAAACAAACATGATTTCTATGTATTCTGAAAAAAACTATGAAACAGCAAGATGAGGTTCTGAAAACCTGGCACCAGACATAAACAAAACACAAAAAAAATGAATTTTTAACAAACAGTGGATGAGATGACATTTTTTTTGAAGAGGTACTATAGTTAATGCAGACTTTTCCATCTCTCTGTGACTCTTAGGAGGCCATGCTATGTGCATGATAGCTTGTAAACAGAAGGGAAAAATGAAAAGGAACTGTGGAACTTACTCAAGAAATCCTTGGGCTTCCATTTTTCTTTAATAAATATGATTCCTATGATCGCACTGGCTATCGGAAAAAAAAGAAAGAGAAACAGGATGATGTACATATTGACCCAGTCACCAGCAGTATCACAGTGCAACACACTCAGACATCAGTCATCTCCTTCTTCCTTACCTATAACAGACACTGCACTTAGAGGCACAATCAGTGAAAGAGGAGCAAAAGCGTAAGAGGAAAACACTCCCAGCTCTCCCAGCACCAGCAGAAACAGTCCACACCACCATGTCTTGGTTTTGAAGTAAGCTCGGGGGTCTTTGGAGCCTGCCAGCCGGATGTGGCTGTATTTCTAGAAAACAGAATAAAGGTACAGAAGCTTTGGCATGCTTGATGCTTTTTAATGCAGGATGCTTGAGGCAGGATCAATATTTGTTTCATGATACCCACCTGAAGGTTGAGTGCAATACTGATAACAAGATGCCCAAAAATAGCTAGTAATGCACCAATCAAGTTCTCCTGTAAAAAAGTAAATACACAGATATTAAATTTACCCACTGGACCTTGAAGAGAGTTCGGGCTTTTTGCACAATCTGGAAGAGAGAACACTTTAAAATCTGTTCCTAGATCAACTGTCAATAAATCATTGTTTATCTTCTCTACATGACCTAAGATAATTCAAGTAACTTCCTTGTGGCTCCGTTCCAAATCTATGAAACTTAAGTGAAAGATAACCCTTCCTCAACTAACACTTTATATGAGAGACAAATTAGCATGCATGTATTCACATTTTTGTGGTTTCTTAGAGGGAAAGGTCGAACTGCTAAACACAACAACCTGTTCACTCCTTCTTCCCTTCAAAAAATCTGTTTTTTAATATCTTTAGCAACACCCTTATGAAATCTGTTTTCATAAGGTTGGCCTGGCATTCAGCAGCATATGGATCAGGAACCTCTGCATTCTGTGGGTCACCTTTCAGTAACTATTTTGCTCTTCTCAACCTATACCACCTGCTGGTTTGGTGAGCAGTTCGGCCCATTTAATGGAGCAGTCAATTATCACAGATTTTATGCTGCTTTTTACATGAACGAGACACTCCAAATTAAAAGGTAACTACTAGCAACTCCTATTAAGTTCTTAGCACATTCCACATAAGCGTTACTAGCTCAGCAGTAATTTTCATAGTCCAGAGACAGAGCTTGAAATAAAAAATGTAAAGCAAGCTGAGTCACAAAGGAAATACACATTAGGAGCAAACAGAAGAGCATGAACTCAAGACAGGCCATTTAACACTTGTGCTCCTTCAACAACTGTCTAGATCTCATTAGATGTCACTAGCACTTTTCATCTCAGTGAAGGTCACCAAGACACAGTGGAGTACAACCTTTGATTGATTTGGGATAACTGAGCTCACATTTGTATTCCTCTCTTAACTGTAAATTTACAGTTCTTGATTTTAACAATGACTTTAGAGTTTCAAGTTTGTACCAGTGAAACAAAAAGCTTTGTCAGGCTGTGAGAAAGTAAGATTCACCCAAGCAGTTTCATTCAAAAACACAAGATGCTTTCCCCACAAGACAGTAAAGTTGGCCCAAAAACATCACTGTGTGATCACAGAGAAAGCCACAGAAAATTCAGCATGGTTTCTGGGTTCAGTCTGGACGACCGCGAGGAGGAAGCCCTTTCAGCTGAGGCACTGTAAGTAGAGCAGTGTGACTGGCTTCTGGACCGAGAGCTTGCAAGCCTGCGAAAACCTCATGCCAGTCTGACTAATTTTTACAATGCATCTTGGACTGTGTTCTCAAAGTACTTTTTATAGTGGAAAGAAAAAAAAAAGGGGGGGGGGGAAGGAGGGAAAGCCCTTCTTGCAGGGATTTTCCAAGCACCTTCAGAATGATGGATTTGTAGGAGAGTGATTTGGGAACAGTTCCATTTACAGTTGGAGAATAAGGAGGAATTATTGCAACAGGTCCTACCTTGGCTACAGGCTCTGAGAGATCATGGGCTGAAATGTAAGCACTCAGATACTGCAGATGAGAACATCTGGTCTCAATCACTGATGTACAGAATAGTTTGAAGAGTTACCTAGCAAAATTTATTGCTCCTAACCCATTTTAGACAGCTATGTGATCTTTTAACTGCCAATCATTCTTTCTTCACTTTGTCTAGCTCTTTGAGACGTAGAATTTCTTTCTCCCACTGCTTATATACACAGTATATAATATGCTCAGGCCTGCAGGCATGGCTAAATACAAAGACTGTGCACTTTCTGCAAAAAAAAATAACCAAAATAAGTGGCATTATCAGCTTACTTGAATAGTTAAGGCCTTCTAGGGGTAGTAATAACCAAAATAAGTGGCATTATCAGCTTACTTGAATAGTTAAGGCCTTCTAGGGGTAGTCTGGGGTAGAAACCTGACCTTGTAAGAAAAGGAGTCTGTGTGTGGCTGCACAGAAACCGCTGCTGTGGCCAGTGGGAGTTGCTGAAGTTGCAGATTTGGACTGTTGCCTCCTTCCATTTTTGTTTACTGAAGTGTTTGGTTTTCAGCCTCTGAGATGCCAGAACTTCTCTTTAAAGAAGAAACTTGGACTCTGCTAGAACCATGTTATCTGGAACTTAGTACCAGTCCTTCTCATCCATCCTGTTTAGCGTGGACAAACGATTACATCCATGAGGCACAAACAAGCTCTCTGTAATCTATCTGTTGCTCTTCTTCCTCCACTGGGCTGCACTGAGATAGAATAGGCACTGCAGGCAGAGGTGGAGATGAACCAATATTTCCAGTGAGTTAGTGGGGGGTAACGTTATATTCCTCCAAGATGAGGCTGAATAAAGGAAAAAAAAAGTAAATAAAAGAAGAATCAGGTCAAATGAACTCAACTGTCCAAAAGCTGCAGTGAAATGATGCTGACTCCACAGAAAACTCCCCGGCATCAAACTAACAGCTGCACACAGCAGCAGAGGAGTTTCAATGCCTTCTCAGAGTCCCGCGCACAGCAGCTCGCAGAGCCGCCTGCTCACTGCAGCCCACGGGCTGCCTCAGCCCCAGGGGCGCGGTACCCGCTGGCATCTCACCGGGCTCCTCTCAGCAAGCCCCGGCCGTGCTCCGAGCCCCGCTCCTGGTGTCCCTGCTCCCCGCTGCTCGCTCAGCGCCCCGCCAGCAGCGTGCCGGGGCTGGCAGCGGAGCCGGGTTCGGCCCGTGCGGCCGGACACCGGGCCCGAGGCAGGGCCGGCGGGGAGGAGGCCGCTCGGAGCCGGGGCAGGGCCGGGCCCTGCCGGGGAGGTGCCCGCGTTCCGCGAAGCCCCGGGCCGGGCCGTGCCCGCCCGCGCACTCACCTGCTGCCTCCGCGGCCCCATGGCCCGGCCGCCTCGCTCCCACCTCCTGCCCGCGCCCGGCCCCCCCAGGCCCCGAGGCGGCGGCGGCGGGGGCGCTCCCGGTCCCTGGCCGCCAGCGCCACCTTAAGGCGCGTGCGCGAGGGGCCGGCCCCGAGCCACCTTAAGCAGCCGCGCGGAGGGTGGCTCTGAGAGCTCGCCTGCCATTGGGTGCCTTGCCGGAGGGCTCGAAGGAACAGGCCCGCCGATTGGAGGAGAGCTGGGCGGGCCGTTGTAGCCGTGAGGGAGGGGGGGGCGGGGGCTTCCCCTGCGCGGTGCCGGTGGCCGCGGGGCGGGGCCGGGGGCGCCATGGGCGGGGCTCGAGGTACGGTGAGGGGGGGGGGGCGCTGCCGAGGCACAGCGAGGCCCCGCTTCCCTCCTGGGGACGCCCGGGCCGGCACCGCGCCCTGCGCCTGGCTCCCGGCACGGCAACCGCCGCCAGGCCGCCACCCGCCCCCTGTCCCGTCACCACCCGCCCCTGTCCCCCCGCCACCCGCCTCCAAGCCCGGAGCCCGCCCCGCGGCCCCACCGCCCTCCCTCAGGAGCCCGCACACAGTCACCGAGCTCCCGGCTCAGCACCGCGCACTCTGTCACTGAGGCACTGCCCACCGGTTGTCGCGGAGCCCCCGGTACCGTTCAGCTCCGCAGCGCAGCTCCGCGCGCGGCAGTAACCGCAGCGATCCCGAGGCGATGCAGTGCGGCCGGGCCTGGCCCCGTGCGGCACCACCGCGGGGCCGCTCGGGGGGCACCAGGCCCCAGCTCGGCCGCACGCCGCGTCCTTGGGCTCTGCCTGCGGGGTCTGACTCCGGAGGGGTCAGTGCCGTGAGGGGGGTGCTGGGTTACCTCAGTAAATGAGGAAAATCTGCAAAAGGGATCAAACAGCACGGAGTCACCCGTCGAGTCCATTTATCAGCACTAGTGCTTCGACGTGTTTTGTTTTGTTTTGTTTTTCTTCCCTTTGCTTTTTAAATAGACGCAGAAATGACAGCTGGTTTCTTGGCTCGTACACACCGTTGATGTTAGATGTGCCCTTAAGTTCTACATCCTATTTAAAAAGAAAACTGGTGCTGTAGTTACATTCCTCCTGTATCTTCATATTCAGAATTTTGTTACTATTGGCTGTTCCTTCTAGGTTTCCAGATTTCCTCCAGTCCTTATAAGCACCATGGTAAAGTAATCTCAGACTCAGAAAAAAATGGATTTAATTCTCAATCAAAGCGATTTCAGTATAACCAGGTGAGTAACAAAAATGATTGAAGTTCATGTCCTCATAATAAAAAACTAAACACTAAACACTAAACTGCAACTAAAAATATGGCAAATAAGCAACTAAGTCTAGATTATGGTTGTTAAATTTGTTTTTTAATCACAACTCTTAACAGTATGAAGTAAATGGTAAAGCGGTGTTATTAATTTAAACCTTAACATTACTCCACATACATCACCCTTGTCCTTACCATCCCCCTACATCTCTCCCACCCAGCTTTGTCCCTGGTCCCTTTTCCAGTCTTGAACCCTCATGGACACAAACATATATCTTGCATGTATTGTGAAATTCAGGAGAAAATTTAAAGAAATCAGTAGAGTTACCACTTGTATAATGGTAGGAGAATATGACCCCTTCTATCTTTGGACACTTCACCTTGATCCCTGATTTGTAGGACTTACATTGGTATATGTTATCTGGCCAGCAGAGGGAAGCAGAAAGATATGTTAAAACCATGCTGTTTTCCCAGGCTGCGCTGTGCAGGGTTTCTTTTCAAGTCTGGCCAACACTCAGAGGTGCCATGGGCCTCCTGGGCTTTCTGGATGCAGCTTTCAAGCTACATCCTCTGCTGGTGGAAAGAGGATGCCCATGGCCCCCGCTGACTGTTTCCTGTGGTCTGGTGACTATGTGGTAACACCAGAACTCTGAAAACTAAGTATATTCTGAATTTCTGAAGCTTTGGGTGCCAGGTATGTAAAGTAGGTAAATCTCGGAAGTATTCGTCTTCTTCCCTCTTTCTTCTTTTGCCTTTGGCATCTTCTCTTTCTTCTCCTTCCTTTGATCTCTTCCTCCTTGCTTGTCTCTCCCATCTCAGTGATATCAGGAACATATTATCTCGGGACTGAATAACAACAATCAAGGACGTAAAGGACAAAAGATGAGGGAAAATGATCAAGGTAGAGAAGTTGCTTAAATACCTTAAGTAGGCGCCATCAGTCTGTCTGGTCAGCTTCCAGGAGTTCCAGATGACCTGATGCTAAGTTCTGAGTAAAAGAGAAGAGGCAGAGTCTTAAGGTAGCTTCACAAAGCACTCCCTTGCCTTTGAGAATTTCCTGCTTGAAGGGCAGAGCAGGCAGGAAGCCAAACCACAAGCTATACAAGGGCTTGGCTGATTCTTTCTTAAGCTTTACCCTAGAGAAAAGTTACTGTGCTAGGTAGGGGAGGGGAAGCATTAGGTCGCTTAATACTAGGCCTTTTTGCAGTTACTGACTTATTTTCCTCCACCAGTGCTTGATTGTGTTCTCTTCAGCACAAGCCATTTTGGAGCACATTCCTTTAGCAGGGTAGTCAGGGATAAATGAAGTTTACCAGTACACGAGGTTTACCCACCTGTAATGTAGGCAATGTAGAGAGCTTATTTGCTTCTTAGTACCTGACCTGGAATAATTACCAAGTGAGTTGACCCACTTTTGTAACTGTGCCAGTTTACCACTGTATTCACACAGCCCCACAGGTGCCTGAACACCGGAGTTTGGAAGGCATTTCTGGTGGATTTACCACACAGCTAAATCCTCCCTTATATTCACCAGAATATAGTTCAAAGTATTCAAAGGACACAGAGGTGTGCAGTCACTGTAGCAGGAGGTAAATTTCCAAGGGTGTGTAGATGTCTAATCTCCAATTACTTTCAACAACACTGACGTGGTGATGTGCATGCCAAACCAGAGCTAGATGCAGTGGATGGGAGAAGGGCTCTGTAGTTGGTTCCCTGACACGTGCTGTCCTGGAAGGTGCTAATCACGAACGTGCTGTCAGAGTAGTAACTCCCCTTTATGGGGCAGGGTTGAGCATGGGATTCCATCCAAGCCTCAGCAGGCTGGTCAGCAGGAGCAGCCAAGCCTGGGCAACACCAGGTAATTGAGCTTGCAGATGCAAGTTTTTTTTTTTTTTTATCATCTGCTTTGGAAACCCGCTGCACATTTAATAGCTGGTTCTAGCAAATTGAACCAAACTTGCTTCCCTCAGCACAACCGTCTTCTCCATGGAGCACAATTTGGAGAGCCTCAAGTATGTGGCAGAAAGATGAGGTACTGGGGAAAGGAGCTGTCCCATTAGCATCAGTATGAGCCTATGCCTGTATTTCATTGCCTTTGCCCCAAGAGAGAGGTGATCAATACAGCTTGGTCAATGTGTGTGGTACTTCTCTTGCTAGAGTGAAAATCCAGGCCCAGGATTCTATAATGTCACTCATCAGTCTCCAGAGATCAACAGCCCTTCGTTGTCAAAGAAAGGAACTGGATACTTTCCTTCCCTGGTAAGAGGAAGCATTTGATTTCAGACTGATTTCCAAAGCTGCTGAAATCACATAGTCCCTCTGTAGTGACTTCAGTGGACTGTGGATCTGGTCTGTAAGCTACTTTGTTGCCTGTCTGCAGTGTCTATTTAGGGTTGTACTGGGAATGTTTCTAAAACCCAGCCAAGAAGGAAAATCATTTTTCACTGTCATCAGACAGAGTTATAATTAAAGTGGAAGTCCAACGGCTATTCTAAGCTGCTTTTTCATCTTTTGTGCTCTTTTAAATTCAGTTTCCAATGGGGCTGAATTTTTTTCTGCTCAGTCTCACCCAGAGGTGGTCCCTTTTCATCTTGCATGAACCTTTTCAAACCAAATTGGTAGAGCTGTTGTTAACTTACAAAAGTGTAAAGGAGGATACATACACACATGCTTTGTGGACTTATTGAGAGCGTTGTACCAGGCTACCTGAAATGCATAGTTAAAGTGAATAATTTCACGATCTGTTCTCTCTAACACAAGACTTAAAAAAAAAAAAAGTTTCTTTTGCCAGCTGATGAGCATCTGCCCCCCAAAAGAAGAAATCAGCAACGCTTATTACTTGAAAAAGTCATTCTCATTCCCATTTAATCTCACAGAACTTGCAACTGTGAGTGCTGTATACCAAAGTTTCTGCTATTTTAAAATGATAGAGGTGATTTGTCCTTAAAAATTACATTTGGTAAATCCAGGCCTCAATCATTTCACAATTTCTTTTCAGCTCACCTACTGACAATTTCTTTTCTCCCTCCCTTTCCAGGTTCCACGCACTGCACACAAGAAAATCTCCAGCTTTCCAGCTGCGAATGCCTATAACATCCTATCACATTTTCAGTCCAGACGAGACTTTAGCATGGGAAACTCCAGTGTGTTTCAACAACCTATTTCTAGGAAGACTGAGAAAATCCCTACTCCAGCCCCCAATCAATACCATGTAAGGAGATTTGGAAGGGAAGACAAGGCAGGCAGCAAGGCACAGCTAACTTAATGCTGGTGAAGTCAGTTTGATGTTCCAGGTGATGCTATGAAGTTCCAGAAAACACAGCAACTAGCTGTAACTGAGCTAGTTTAGGTACAGCTCTCAAGGTAGCTGTAACAGCCCAGAGCTTTGCATTAAACACTTATCCTGTGCCTGATGGCTCTGAGGTCTGTTCCACTGCACTCAGTATTTAAACGAATGAGCACAAACCTAGCTCAGGTATCTCTGCATGATCTGCCATCTCACCTCTGACCATGCTGCAGGTGTACCCCAAGGTGTTGTGAAATGAGCACACGTCAGGCAGTAACTTTTCAATACCAAGGAAGGAAAAATACATCCCTGACCCTGGGATGGTGGCAGCCTCTGCCCTCCTTGCAACATCACTGGCTTTGATACTGGAAGACCCCACCACGTCCCATGAGTTTTCATCCTAGAACTCTAGCCTCTGTTGGTTGGCTACAGGGAACTTCTGCCAAGAAGCTCAAGGCAGGTGAATTCTACATCTTTAACAGGTACTGGGTTTTGAGGTTCAACCTCAGAGCTGGGAATCAGGTTTGAGTATGTTGAACTAATGTAATTGGCTGTGCCCTTCCACTTGCTGTGGAGCTGTGCCAGTTTATATCAGCTGAGGACCTAGCCCTCAGGTTCAGTTCCTGAACCTCCTCCTGATTCACCCTTGTGTAAGACACTTAACTGTTCCATGCCTGATGCTCCCCACCCATGCCACAGTGACCAGGCTTCACTGGGGTGTTGCAAGCCTTAGTCCACAGTAATTCAGAGTGTGTTTTGAGATATGGAAGATGATAACAAAACACAAAGTGTTATTAACAACTGTCAGATAGTTTATAATAATACGCACTCAGCTAATGGACTTTTTTGTCCTTTCAGTGTTGTGCTGCTTTAGCCATATTTACTTTTTGATTTTGTTATTCTTTAGGGAGATTTTTTTTTCTGCACAGAATGTCTACATTGCAGCCATTTCCTACTGAACTTTTCCCTTTCAAATCATATTTTGATGCAGGATACATCCACTGTGATTGAGGCAGAACATGTTGACTCTCCGTAACATTTGATGACATCGCATAGCTTTTTAAGGCAGAATGAACACGACACAATTTAATAAGCTTAATAAATTGCTACTCATCAGCTGAGACATCTTAACTGGCTGCATGCATGTTCTTGAAGCAATTCATGCTTTTATAAAGTAATTTGATACAGTTTAAACATCAGCAAAGGTGTCTTAAACAAACACGTCTTGCCTCACAATTTGGGTGTGCAAAGAGCACACGTACAGAGTTACTGAGACTCAGCTGACATGGAGTAATCATGTTCGCTCGTACAACCTATACACTAAGACTGTGAACTTTCTTATGATGACTCACTTCAGCTGAGTATCTGCCCCGGCATGTTCTAGGTTGATTAAACTAGTTTGCAGGCCATAATTATTTTCTATATCATAGTATAATGGATTCACATCATATTATTTTTAACATTGTAAGAATTTGCTTCTGGGAACGGCCTTCTTGAATTAATCACTGACTCATGATTTACTGTAGGAGATACTATCTAACCTACAAGAAGCAGAACAGGAAACTATCTATTTAAAAGATGGCAGTTTCTGATAATTTATGACTATAGACAAAGAGACATCTGAGAAGAAAAGAAGGCCAGATCCTGCTCTCTTTATGCAGCCACTGCTCTTAGGCAAAAAGGAACTTTTGTCTAGGAACTGGAGGATCTGTTTTTAAGGTGGTTACAGATGAAAATTGACAAATGTTCTGGGGAAAATGAGTGAGCAACAAGAAAACAATATCCTAAGTTGTCCTCAAAGCTATCTTCAGCTCTGTGACCAATTCTCTCTTTGAGTGTGAGCTCCTTAGGAGCTGTGGATTAAATGTGTTCCTTTGTATATTCTGTACAAGAGCTGCTGTGTGTACCTGGGCAGCGAGTGTGGCAAATAGCTGAGTGCTCCACGAGAGCAGCATGACCTCCTCCCCCAGGGACTTTTGGCACCTCTGTCCAAGTTAATTAGCTTGGGGACTGCTAGCAGTAGAACTTCAGTGCTGCACACCAAGCTTGGTGCAAGCTGCTGGAAGGCACAACCACTCCAGCATTATCTGCAGGCTTGAATGAACTGAAGTGCAGATTCTTCAAGTCGTGCTTAGTTTAAGGCCACTAGCCCACACTGCAGTCCCAGCAGTGACAGCCACAGAGACATGCCCCTATTCACTGCAGCACCTTCCAGGGGCTGTATTGCAGGTGGCCTTTGGTGTCTTGGCAGTGCCACCTCAAATTCTGGGCTGTCAGCAGCTTGAGCCAAACAAGACACTTAAAGCTGACATTGGAGAAGTCTGGAGATAGCAATTAAAGCCAAAAGCCACATTTTCTGCACGAGTTTCATGTCCTCAGTGTGTGTGTGTGTAAATGCAACCCTTACATGCTGGACTGTCACAAAGAGACCTACCTACAATTGGTAAGCACTCTGATATTTTGGTCCTAATTCCGCCTACAGTTGCATCATTAGAATCATTCACGATGGAGACAACTGGATTTTAAATGTGGGTTTTCCTTCGTTGGTAATTACCCACATGTTAGGTCAATTAAAGACATTCACAAGCCCTTTTTCTTTTTTCTGCAACAGACATCTACAGATTTCTGCAAGCAAAGCAACAATGTTTCTGCCCATGCAGTGTTTGTGTCGCGAACCACAAGAGGATTAAATTTGGAAAAAATTGGAAAATGGCCTTCTCCATGTATGTGAGCCTTGAGCTGGAAGAAAGATGTTGCTGGTGATTTTGGTTCTGTTCCGTCAGCGTGCAGAGCACCACTGCACATCAATTCAGGTCACTCTGAGCTTTTCAAGGCATATGAGATTTGAGCAGGTGTCAGAACACCAGTGTGCCTCCCTTCCAAGTGCTATGGCTTGATCCCATTGAGTCTCTGCTGAGACAACATTCCAGAAACCATCCTGACAGTTTTGAGTAGCCTTAAGGAATCACTAAAAACCCTGCAACTCTTGTGTAGATGCCAGAGGTTCCTGGAGAAGCCACATTAGTGTATAATGTACCAAGCTCCATGGTACTCTAGCTGCAAAAGAAGCCTACTCCTGGCCCATAGCCTGTTGAGGTTTAAGACCCAGAACATGAGGGCACATATCATGCAAAGTTATATCACGTGCAAGTTCTCCTCCTGTTTGATTCTTTAAAATTGCTAATGTCTCCATTTGTGCCTATGCTCAAGACAAAGTTTGGTGTTGCCTTATCAGTGTCCCTCGAAATAAGCTCTGCCCAGGATAGCACTTCTCAAATCCAGAATTGATTTCCCCACACAGTCCTGTTATACCGGTTCTTTTTCCTTCTGTTACATTCACTGACTGTTGCACTCTCATTTCTCAGCACCAGTGTTGCTGCCATGTTTGGTGTTTACATTTCTTTCCTGTTTGTTTTGTAGGTCACTACAACATCAATGATTCCCTCACCAAGGTGTCTCCCAAGGGTATAACATCTTGCTTCAAGTCAAAGACCTCCCACCTGACAAGGACAGACAGAATTACTGCAGAGCCCACAATCTATCAGCCATATAAACCCACCAGGGAAACAAAGAAAACTCCTTTCAAGTAAGTCCAGCTCTGGAAGACATGCTACTTCCATGCAACATCTGAAACAAGGTCAGACAGCAGAGTGATCCCACAGTATCCCACTATATCACCCGGTCCAATTTGGCCAGTTATTGCCACAGATTTACAGGAACTAGCTCAGAGATGGAAGTGTTACAGAGCATTGCCTTGAAGGGGAGTGTGGGCTGATAACATCCTGGAGCAGTGTATCAGAGGTACCTTTATCATATGATCTCTCAGACATTTACAAACAGTAATTAAATACTGCACCACCCTTATGATGTAGGGGTAATACCTTACCCCCATTTTACAGAGCAAGAAGCCAAAGCACACATGACCTGGAAAAGGTTCCTTCAGCTCTTGTAGCCCAGGCAGGGATTTTAAGCACGAGGCTTTGCTTCTTTTGCATTGCCAGTGCCTAAACTCACCCCCAGAGTAACACTAGGCTTAAAGGGTCAAATCCAGGAACCACTGAGCAGGAACACTGAGGGTTGCTCACAGCAGTACAGCATCTCAGACAACCTACGGGGTAAATCGTGGGCATTTTGCTACCCCCTGCTATGGTGGGAAGTAGAGCTGAAAAGAGGCTTAATAAAACTCTCAAGTACTTCCTTCAAGCCAGAACTGCCATTCCCACCTATCCCATCCTACCACTTGTTTCAAAGGGATTAAAGGCATGAAAAGAAACTCCTTCCCCTTCATATCCTTATGAGAAGGCAAATAAATCTGCCTATCAGCAAATTGTTCAAGTAAATTTATTGTCACCATGCAGTGACTTTGCCTGGCCTAAGATTAAGATCAACAATAAATTCCTGACCATGGAAAAGAATGAGAACATGAGAAGGCCCACAGCACTCCTTACTCAACAGGTGTATCTACTACATCTCTCAGCAGCTGTATCTTTTAGCAGGGCTTTTATATAAAGAGTGGGAAGCTGTAGGCTGAGAGGGAAGCAATGCCAAGTGGCATTTGATAAGGACAGAGAGCTAGAGGGAAGGGCAAATTAAATATGAGGAGAGAAGATTGCCAGTCTGTAACATCGGAAGACACAAAAACACTTCACACCCAGCTGCTGGGGTTAGAGCCTGCGCCCTCTCCTGTTTCAATCAGTGGAAGAGAATGGGAGGAACTCCCAGTTGGAGCTACTTGGCATTGTTGCTTTGCCTTCAGTGCTGGCTTACTCTGGAGCAGCTAGGTCTCTGCAGAAGCTGGACCAGTGACAAGTCCTTGTATTTCACAGTAAATAAAGCAGGCTGACTATAGCATTGAAATTGGACTTTTTTTTTTTTTTTTTTTTTTCCTCCTAGATAATTCCCCAGAGGTTTTGGTTTAGGAGGATTAAGCACTGACCTCTCCTGGGTACCTGGCAGAAACAACAGCTTTTATTTCGTGACAAAACTCCACCACTATGGGACGAGCTTCTTAAGCCTCTTCTCTCTTGACAGACAGAAATTCTGCTTGACACTCTGTGCTCCAGCAATCCCACCTTGTAAAGATCCACCTTTTCCTGGACCTGGGCAGTACAACCTCGTGGATTACGGAGGATCTCTAAAGCAGAATTGCTCAAGTGCTGTGTTTGTCTCAAACACGGAGCGATGGATGGGGGGTGGATCACAGGAAGGGTTCCCCGGACCAGGTAAAAATAAGAATTATTCTGAAGTACTTCTCACTGCTAGAGATGTGAGGCCTACAGATGTGACTAAACAGCACTATTGCCCATTCAACAGGAAGGAAACAAAGCACAGAAATTGGAGAGCCCACCTTCAAAGGCATGTAGACACTTGAAGACACACGCCATTTCTGAAAGGCACTTTACTCAGTAGCACGTGTCACATAGGATCTTTTGGATATTGTGACCGTAGGTTTATGATGACCACCAAGCAGCTAAATCCTTTTTAGATCAGAGCATAGTGTCCCCTGCTACCTTTCACTGGTCTAGTATTGAAAATCTGGGCTAAATTGATCTCTGTTGCACAATAGCAACGTGGACAAAGCAGGACTGGAGTCCTGACTACCAGCGCTATAACCAACTTGCTGTTCCATATTTTACAATATTATTTTTTAAAGGCAAGATAGAAAAATTCACGTTTTCAAAGTAAAGGCCATTAAAATATCACCAGCTTGTCTGTCAGTGTATTTGACAAACAGGTTCTGTGACTTACAGTGCGTGTGTAAAACTACCACATAATCTCATAATTCTGGCTGTTGGTGCAACACACATTTCACCTGCAACACTTTTCTGTTCAACTGGGAGAGAAGAGCACTTGGAACAGGAGAACAGGAAAGAAACAACATCCTCTTAAGATAGAGAAAGCCTCCATGCCCCAGCTAGAGAGTAACGTTATGCAGCACCTCAGCACAGTGTCTTTAGTTTTATAACCCTCCGGCTGTTCTGTCCTCAGAAGGATTTGCCAGAATTTTCCTGATCTAAACTTGAGTAAAACAAGAAACGAAACATGCCCAGTAGCTTGTAATCAGGAAACATATGGTGAAGGGGTAGGAGGGACACACTGCCATTGAGGAATGGGTTAAACACGCCAGGCTGACATCCAGCAACATGCATGGGCACAATTACCACCAGTCTGTCCAGCCAGGACTGGTGGGCCCTGCCTCACCCCTGCCAGCAGTGCTTGCAGTGGGAGCTGTTCCTCAATGGCAAAGGGACAGCTTGCACCAGGAAGCATGCCCGAATTTTGACCCTCTGCCATTAGCGATGATAAAGGAGGCAGATACAGGGACGAATCCTGCTGCAGTCTCCTTGTGCAGAGCAGTTCTTTCATATACAGGCAGGGAGCTAGTCACGGGGCGGAGGTGGAGCTCAGCTCGGCCCTGGTGGAACGTATCCGTTGGCAGATTGTTTCTAGGCATGAATAGCATTAATTTTTTTTTTTCAGTTAAGACTCATACTTCTTGCCCTTTTTATTTCTTCTAAGATTCTGAAGTTCTTCTAGGTCGTTACCAAAGGACTGGAAAAGCAGTCAATAGCAATACTGCTGTTACTTCTGACGTATGAACGTTCCTAGATACAGAATTTGTACCATCCACAGAGAGCAAGAGAACATGCTGGTTGCATTAGTCTCTCCAGGGCCCTTGAGGCAGCACAAACTGGGGTAATGGGCTTTACTGGAGCTCCATCCAGATCATATCCCAGACTTGCAAGGTACTGTGTCAACATGCCAGCTCCCTGAGAGCTGTTCTGCTGACTAAGCTAGGACAAGATCCCCAGCCAGAGTAAATTAGTCTGTCTCAGTTAAAGGTACAGAGCTAGGCCAGTTTATTTACGCTGAAAATCTGGCCCAAAATTACTGAGGATGGTTACCAAGTTAATTGAAGAGGGAGGGAATGTACTACAAATACCTTCTGCAGATGGTGAAGAAATGCCATCTGTCATTTTCATCAGTCCTTCATGCCAAATTGATTAGAAACCTATGCAATACCATGTTAGTGCATGAAAAGAACAAGGATACACCATCATCACATAACCATGCATGCAGTCTTCTCTTTGTTGTTAGGAAAAAACAAACAAACACCACAAGAACAACAACAAAACACACACAGATCTCCTTTCTATCCCAGTCTGAAAAGTGGGGAAGAAAATTCCACAGGATCAAAACTCCAAGTCATGAGATTAGAGGTGACTTAAGCCCTGCCCCACAAGAACACACAGTACGTACAGAAATATTCAGCACTAGACCACAAGGAATAGAACTAAATCAGCTGGTAGCTGATAAAAAGCAACAACTTTAATAAAGGCTGGTTATTCACCAGTTGTTGATGCCTGGGCTTCTTTGGAGCCAGTGGCTCAGTGTTTCAGGAAATCTGGGTAGTCCCTTACATAGGAGTCACAGGTAAATTTACAGTCAAGACAACCTTCAACATACTAAAGCTACCCCAAAGTCTATGTACACCAAATGTTAGCACAAAATTTTAATTCTATGGCCAGAGACACTTTACAGAAGATACCAGGACATTCACACAGGCTGAGGATTTTAGTACCTTTCTCATAAATCAGTAATTTTATAGAAATACAAGGAATTTTTCAGGAAAAATGTGAAAAAGCAGAGTGGAGGGGACCCCTCAGTGACTTCATTAAAGCTTTCCACATTGTGAAACAGATGCAAACAGTTTCAGTTTCCTGTGTCTTTGATCCTTTCCGATATCCAACACAGTGCCAGGGAATCTCCAAACGTGATGTGTGGGTGTTTTAACAAAACACAGGATGCTGTTTTGCCCTTCATAGCAATGGAGAATCACACCACACACCAAGATCCTCAGCTGCTTGGTTGATGATGCAAGGAATGAATAAGCATGAATAAAGACATAGAAACCGGGTGTTATTTGTACAGCTGAACAGCAGAGCCCTCCACCCAGCACTGTGGATACCAGAGCTCTTGCAAAATTCAGCTCACACACTGCTATGTTTCTCTCTCTCTCTATTTTTTTTTTTTATCTCATTAATGCATATCTGTCTTTGCAGGTGCTTATTCACCCAGAGCACTTGGGAAGTATTCTTTCATCTACAACTATGATCAGAAGTGGGTCCCAGTGCTGTGAGCAGCGGAACCCAGACACCAGAGCAAAGCTCCTCAAACAGGACTTCTTTCAAACTCTGCAAAGTGCATGCTAACTCACAGTGCTGTCCTCAGCCTGCCGCGGTTGGCTCACTGATAGTCCAGCAGCTAATTGGTGGTACTTCATGCTGTATAATGGAAGATATTAGCTAAAGCTGACATAAAAGCTTCCAATTTCCTTTGTGTTGAATAATTACTACAATTATTGGGAGTTGCAGAAAAACTCCTCTTGGTGCTATCATCTGATAAACCAAAAAATAGGTGGTAGAAACTGACCATGCCCATAGGAGACATCACCCTGGCTGGAGAGTCCTTTATTATTGGGGTTGAAATATGTGAGAAAGGGGAATGTGGGCAAATCCTACACCTCTGCTGCGTGCTTGCTCAGGGGATGGACACTTGGGTTTGCCAGCACCAGGCCTTGGTGCAGCTGAAGCACAGTGCCTGCACAGAACGCAGAGCCCAGCGTGGGTGTGCACGCACGTGTGCATAGACACTCTCTGCTGCACACCTGCCAGGTACATTTTACAAGCCAGTCAAGAGTCAGCACAAACCAGCTGCTGACTGTCCAGAGCAGATACTGCTCCAGAGGAAGCTTCTCTCATTTGTCAGTGTAAGGCCTTTGCAAAACACAAGTGGGTTCATACTTTCACACGACCTTTGCTCACTCAGAGGTGAATCGCCTTCATCACTCGTATCTTAATCTTCAAAAGGAACTGGTGGGCTCCGGGCAAAGAGTCAAGAATGCTTTCACATATTTGGGAGCTCTGCTTTACGCAACCTCTACAGCAACTCGCCTTTGCTGGAAGGGATGAACGATACTAAGCCAGTCAGCAAAACACCCACCCTCAGCAGTGGTGGCAGGGGGCGGTGACTGTACCTGCGCTGACGTTGGCATGAATCAACCAGCACTCCCCGCACACGGTGGAGTTACTGTGATTTAAAACCCAGCAAATTCAGGCTAACTCAGGACCTGCACAGGAAGAATTACCCAGTCCTTTGCCTCCGTCTCCTGAGCAGAAAGGGAAGTCATTTGAATGGTGCAGACAAGCTTAGCACCAGCCACGGCAGTTCTCACACTGCAGAACTTAGGAGAGATTTGTCTCTGGGGGTGCTGTATGTTCCCTCTCCCACAAGCAGCCATAAACCTGTGTTCTTCCCTCAGCAGCCAGCACTTACCCATCGGTCAGGCAGTGCCTACCTGCCCTCCCCAGGACGAGCCCTGTGCAGACAGCAGCGGCAGGGTGCCCAGCACCAGGAGTCCTGCTGCAGAGATCCCCCTGAGGACAGCAGAGCCGAGTCCCTGGGCCTGCCTGATGTGTCAGGATGATGAAGGCACCTGTCGGTTTCACAGCCACCTTTACTAAGCACTGGAGAGCTCTCGGTGTGCCTGTTTTTAACTTGAGCTGAAATTTTGCTATAGTAAGACTGTAGGCCCAGACCAGCAGAACTAACACTGAATCAGAGAAATCCTGTTGAAGAAGGAGTTTATGATATGAAGATGAAGGAGTGTAGAGTGCCAGAAGAGATCGTCAAAGGTTGATAAGCCTTCAGACTTATCTGAGTCTCATCTAAGAGGCCCTCCTCATAATGATAACAACAATTAAGTAATCAAAAATTCACCAACCTGACATATTTCAACATTTCAAAATCCCCTTCACAGTGGGAGTAGAGCTTCTCTCTCGTCTGGTTATAGGACTCACATTCATTTCACTTTGATATAGACAGGAAAAGCAGAGGATTGAAGCAGATAAAGAAAGAGGAAAGTCCACAAATCTCAACCATCAGAGGATTCATGGGAAAATGGAGGACTCCCCCTTGATATATATATATATATATATATATATATATAAATTATTTTTAAACCAAAAAGCAGTTGCAGACAATTTTTAGCACAGGAGACACAGTGGTGGAAGCTTGGTGTTTGAGAGGCAGCAGGTGAGAGGAGTTTGGGCAGCCAGTGCAGCACAGGTGGAGGAAGGTACTCAGCTGGCTACCTGATAACACTGCCGTGCCCAACAGATGGAGGCTACGCTGCTCCTCCTGTGAGCAGAATTAAAAGGGGCCTTTCTTTTTGGCTTGCTTATAATTTCAGCAGATCTGTGGCAGGTAGCCCCTCTGAGTGTTTATCCCTCCATCAAAGGGATGTGCCCAGAACTGCTCAGTCACCTCCACCCACCCGCAGCACCGTGACGGCACTGTCTGCAGCAACCAGCACAGAGCTGGGAGGAAAGCCCAGCTGTGGGTCTGCGTGCCTGACGGGAGCTGTTGCTGCAGCTGTACACAGACAGGCAGCATTCGCTGCCTCGCACCCCTTTATGAAGAGGCAGTTTAGGCCGACAGTCTTCTTGAGCTGTTCAACAGCATGTGATGCACAACCAACCTCAAGCCCTTTCTGTGCCTCCAAGGTCACCTCTCTGCCCTGGCTCCTACCCAGCCCTTCCTGAAGGCCTTTCCAACTCAGACCTCCAGAGCTGGGTGAAAACAGTTCACTTTCTGTCTTTGAACCTTTATTATTATGGAATATCCAAAACAACAAATCCAACAACACAGTTACAAAAGGAGTTCACGGAGAAATGTGAAGCAGCCTGTGTTTGAAATGCTCTGTGTCACCGTACTGAGTCAAATATAAAACAATGCATATTTATACATATATAAAATATAAAAGGAACAATACATCAGAAATGTATAAACAAGGGCTATGGAGGCCTTTGTGGTATTTACAATCAGAGACACAGCAGGGTGGGGGGTGTGGGAGCAGGCAGTGTCCGTTCAACAGTGAGTTTTAAATGCATCTGTGAAAGTCTCTGTGGACAGAAAAGGTCAGAGCTGGGCTCAGCTCTGCTGGAAATGGTTTGAAGGTTCTGCATGACTGATGGTTTGGGAGAAAGCCAAAGCCTATGGCTGGATCAGTCATGGGCTAAGGCAAACAGTGAGCAGAGGCAGTCCCCTGCCGCTGCCTGGGTTCTGACAGCCATCTTAGTGTAGCTGCATGTTCCCAGCTGTAAAACAGAAGGTCAGGCCCATTGCCAGAAGAGAATAAAATAAAATAAAATATAAAATAATAATAATAATAATAAACTCAGTAGAGAGAAGTTCCACGTTCACATCAGTAACAGATCTTCCAAGCAGTCTCTGGCCAGGCACCGTGAGGCCGAGTCCCTCCCCAGAGGCAGTGTATTCAAGTAAAGGCAACAAATCGAGG